ACTCGCGTTAGGTGGACGATCCCTGAAGGATAACTGGGTTCAACCACGGTCACCCTTTGGTTCTCATTGACACGACGGTTGTGATTCCAGACAAAGTTCTTCTCAATATTGCTCCGAAGGGTTTGCTTGCAGCTCGCTGGTGCGGTGCTCTAGCACGCGTTTTCTGAAATGTATGTTACAGGGAATGGCTCTGTTGCTCATAAAGGTTGGGCCAAGCCATTTTCATCTCTGGTATCGAGGGAGAGGCTGTCCCCTGTCAGCTGCAGGGTGGTTTATAGGAAAGGATGAGTCGTTTTGCAGCCGGCTTGCAATTTACAGTGGAATTAAGCCAAACCTGTTAGTTCTTTGAACTGTTCCGTGGGTAGCTATGGTGTAGTTGGAGCTTCATTATTATCTAATTGGATCTGCTTCATTTCCTCTTAAAAGTAGATTCCCACTTGCCCGTAGGATTTCTCTTTCCTGCCCTTCCTTCTCCCTTTTCCTTTGGTGAACTGCAGATCTTGGATTTCGGCTTGGCCAGACACGCCGATGCTGAAATGACCGGTTACGTGGTTACGCGCTGGTACAGAGCCCCAGAAGTCATGCTGAACTGGATGCATTACAACCAGACAGGTGAGCCACCTCACTCCAGTGGTGTGACCGGCCGGTGACGGGCCCGGGGATCCCGCTGTCACACCCGGGTCAGGTCTCACGTAATCCTCCAGATGTTTTTCCTCTTTGTCATCAGTGTCCCTGGAGCTGTTGCCTGACTCCCAGCGCTGCTGCCTGCGGGGAAGTGATGAAAGTGGAGATTTTAGCAGCAGAGAAAAAGAGCAGGGGAGGGTGGAAAACGGGAGTGAAGTTTAAATTGGTGCCTGCTGCAAGCAATAAAGCCAGCAACAGCCCCAGCAATCTCTGCTGCCTTTTAACTACCCTTTTTTTTCTTTTTTTTTTCCCCCCTCTCCTTTTTCTCTCTGAACAGTGGATATCTGGTCTATTGGCTGTATCATGGCAGAAATGCTCACCGGGAAAACGCTGTTTAAAGGAAGAGACTGTATCCTTTCAAGCTGAACCTTTTCCTTGGGAGGGGTGAATAATTCTTGGTGTGTGTGAAAGGGCTTTTATGAATGAGGCTGCTGAGAGAAATTGGTGTCGGTCTGGTTTCCCAAGAGGTAATCACAGGCACCAGCGGGTCTTTTTGGTTTGAGAGGAGATAGGAAGGGGCCAAGCCACCTTAGAAATACACCTCTGTGCTGGCCATGTGCGCTTTGCATCAGCAATCTAACGTCGTGTGGCCACAGCTTCATCCCCAACCCTAAGTTTGGGGATCTCAATCCTAAAGTTATCCCTTGATGAAAATGACATTCTGGGAAGGGAGAGCCTTGGAGCTCTTTTTGCCAGTCTAATGAGTCTCCCCTTGCATGGCCTTGTTGGGTTTGTATTGTAACCGACTCGTAGCTCCTGTGGGTCCTGGGGCTCTCGGCACCCAGCCCGCAGGCTGAGCTCTTGGGGGTGTCCAGGGCTCGCTCCCAGATGGGTGATCTTTAACGCAGCTGGCCAGACCTAGATCAACTGACTCAGATCCTGAAAGTAATGGGGCATCCAGGAGAAGACTTCGTGGAGAAGCTGGAGGACAAAGCAGTAAGGAAGTTGGCTGTGGATTCGGGTCTTGCTGGCGGAGGTGTGGTGGGGAGAGGGTGACTTGGCCGTGTCTTTGAGATGGGAGAGGTGCTGCTTCTACAGCAGCAGCGAAGGGGAGCGCCGGCAGCCTTTTCCCCTTGGCGAGGTGGACATTCCTCTTTGCTGGTGGCACAGCTGATGCATTTGGCGTTGCGTTGGGACCCGGTGTGGATTGCAGGGACTCCCGGTGAGGTGCCTGTCGCCCCAGCAGAGCACCGACCCTCTCTGTTCTCCAGTCTGGCCCTTCTTAAAGCAGGACTAGTTCTGTACCTCAATTGGTAAAAGCAGTTCCTTGCAAACCGGTCGCTGGAACGTGACATCTGGGATGATTTGCTGTTCTCCTCGTGTGCCTTCGCCCATCCGAGCCGTGAGACCCGAGAGCTGTGTTCCACAGCCCCCTCGCACGCGTCCACGTGCACTAAATGGCTCTGCTTTCCTTCTTCTTTCAGGCTAAGAACTACATCAAGTCCCTTCCTAAAATCCCCAAGAAGGATTTGTCCGTGCTTTTCCCCAAAGCCAACCCTCAGGGTAAGGCATCTCCAGCGTTTCTCCTGAGTTTTCACAGCCGGAGGCGGCTGGGTGCCACTGCTGCCGTTTTCTTTCTCCTCTTTCTCGTAACTCGTTGCTACTTCTTCCCTTGCGGGTTGTGCCTCTGCCCCTCCCCAGGGCAAATACGTATAAATTAAAAGCAAAATTATTCTTTCTTGGCATTAGAATGGCAATGTTCTGCTGTTCTTGGCCATTTACTTGATATTTTTTTTATTTAATTTTAAAATTACACAGCCTGTAACATACTATATTTAAGGAAGAAATAAACTGCTGACTCTCGTATGAACAAGCCAGACGAGAGCGGGTGTTGGGTATGATCTCTAAGGTCCCTTCTAACCCAAACCATTCTATGATACAATGGGATATCTCAGTTGTGGGATGCAAGTGACAGGATTAGGACAGTTGCAAATATCAGCTGCACTTATGAGAGTTTGGAGGAATTTTGGCTGATATTGGCTTCCAGAGGTTGTTGCTTGTAGCCAAGCAGGCAATATCACGATCAGCAGCATCTGGATAAATGAACCAGCTCTTTTTTCATTATTATTTCCCAGCCCCACATCTAAGGCATCACAGGTTTTGATAAAGTACAAGGAGAGCCCCACAGTCCACGATGGTAATTTTTTTAATAATTTTTTTTTTAGAGTACAGTTTGGATTCTAACTGTTTGTTGAACACCTGAGTCTATCGATACTTAACAGGCAGATGAGATGTGCAATTTTGAGGGTAAAAATTGATCTTTTACAAAGGAGCTCTTTTTCCAAGGAGATTAGAGGTGAGAGCGAGCAAAACTTCTGAAAGCTGAACGGAAGAAAGCGTTAAGATGCTAAAACCGAGGGGGAATGGTGCTGACAGACTAGTCGGCGTCTGAGTTTCTTGCCTTCCTGTTTACCAGGGATGTATAGATTGCTGTATAGATTGCACATGTCAAGACTACTTTGAGTTGCGGTGGTCAGAGTGAAAGCAAATGATTAAAACTGAAAACCACCTCGAAGTCACTGGCTCGCTGTTTGTTCTTGCAGCCCCATCTCTGCAGCGAGGCTTACCCAAGCCTAATTTGTGATTTCTGCACAATTTACACCTCTGCTCTCGTTAGCGAGAGCTCCCTGGGGCTGCTGTCGGGCAGATTTTGCAGCCCCGCTGCCGGGAGCTCCACGCTACCTCGGTTGGGTTGAGGAATCTCTTTTGTTTTCAGGTCTGGAGATGTAGTACTGGAAACACGCGTCCCATCACTCGCAGGGTTCATGCATGGGATGCCTGTTCTCCATCGCACCTTGCTTAGCCCTGTTCCCGTCTTCTCCCGCAGCAGTGGACCTGCTTGACAAGATGTTGCAGCTGGACGTGGAAAAGCGCCTTACGGCGACGGAGGCGTTGGCTCACCCCTACTTCGACCAGTTCCGAGACATCGAGGAGGAGACAGAAGCTCAACAGTCCTATGATGACTCTCTGGAACGTGAAAAGCTTTCGATAGATGAATGGAGAAGTAAGAAGTTTGATCTTCTTTGAGGTTCCTGTCTCACACGGGACTTTCCTGCCTCTTCTCTCATTCCTGTGCACATGCTGAGTAGGGCTGCGGTTGCCCACTGATGCCTCGATGATTGTTAGCATCTCCCCTGCTTTGCTCTTGCTTTTATGCATTCAGCAAAGATCCTTCCATCTCCTCAGACTCTTTTTTTTCTCTCTAATTTCTGTCTCTTCCTCTCAGCTTGTACCTGCCATATCCTCTCCACTAAATACCTCCTCTCTGCACACGTAACAGTCAAACTTTCATTTCTGTCCTCTAAAATCACACGTACTCATGATCCCCGTGATTATTTTGTTCTGTTTTCCAAGGGCATATTTACAAGGAGATCTTGTCCTTCAGTCCCATCGCACGGAAGGACTCAAAGAAGCGAAGTGGGATGTCGTTATAGCGACCGGTGCGGCTGTGACCGGGATTCACTTCTTCTGGATGCCCGATGGGTTTACTCCACGCCGCCTTGCTGGTGGCCACCTCTGGCCCATGGGACTTCTCTGTGTGCCAACACAAGGATGACACCATGCAGTGGGCATTGGACTTGGTTCTGCTAAAGGGGAAAGCACCCCAAACGGTTTTCAACACAAAACATAAATATATTCTCATTGAAACTTTAAGCAGGAGAATCTTACCGGGTGTTTCTTTTTATTTTTTAATATTCATCAACGTGAGAGAGCAGGGGTTTCATTGCTCTCCCCTCATTAGTCTTTCCAAGCATAAGTTTTAGTACGTTAATTATGGATAAGGTAAAGAAAAAGGTAAAATTATCTGGGAAGCAAGTCCCAAGCCAAATAATCAGAAATAGTGAGACTCAGCGTAACAAGACTTTCTCCGATCCACACTCTGAGCGCGGCGCCTTTCCCTGGGCAGCAAACAGCATCCAGCACAGCGAGGCTGCTGGGACGGTGTCGGCTCCAGGACGCCATGGGAATCCGGTCAATCTTGGGATCGCTCTGTGCTCTGAGCAGCTCCAAACTCTTGCTATACACACAACTCCCTGCCCCAGGGTTCTTCTCCCTCCGGACAGCTGCTGCCTCCTCTTTTTTTTTTTTTCTTTTTTTTCTCTGCTGATTTGATTCCCTGGGTTTTGACCAGTGCCAGCTCCTCCTTCCCACCGGCTGCAAACCCATCCTGGGAATTCAAGGCCACTTTCCCACATTGATAGACCAGGTATCCCAAGGAGAGCTGGGTCATAATCTAACGATCCTGCTGCCCGTTCCTTTCTGCTCAGCCCGCTGTCCCCAGCGGTTCCCTCTTCACCACACTTATCTCTCGCTGAGCACCCTCTCCCTGCAGTCACCCTCCCTGCTCCCGGCTGCCGTTATCTCTCCGCAGGGCCGGTGTTTCCCTCCGCAGCCCGGAGATGTGACCCTGTATATTCTCCTTCCTTCTGCTCTGCAGGGTCAGTTAAACCAAGGGGCTCTCTGCTTCGCTTCTCTTTCACGCTGCTCATTCCTCAATTTGAAGAAATGTTTAAACTGATCGTTTGGAAAATAGTCAGTTGTCAGTCCTAAGGGTTGGCTCTCAAAGTAACTAAAAAAAAGTTCAAAGTAACTAAAAAAAGTTCATATATTGGGGGGGTGAAAGCAGAAAAGTATAACGCGTGAACAACGTAGCATGAGCAAAAAGAGGAACACAATAATTCAGCTCGGTGAGCACAGAAAATAAGTTCAGATATCTTAGTTTCTTGGTATCGGATTGGCTCGTTATAAATTGCACCTAAGATAAGATTATTAAATGGAATATCTCACAAAACCCACGACAGGCTGGAAAACATCCTGGTGAATAAGAGCTTCACAGATTCCCTTTACTGCACTTTCGCTGAGGGTTTGCATTTCTTATTTGTCGATGCAAGTTTTAATTTGTTCCCTTATTTAGTGAGTAATTCTTGGTAGCTACGAGAATTGCCTTCTCGAGGTGCTCAGAGTCCCGGAGTGTGGTGGGGTGGGACGGTGCAGAGCTGCTGGCACTCGGCTGGGTAGTGCCCACGTCCCAGCCGGCTGCACCCAGCCCTGCTCTAACACCCTGTTCCTTTGGAGTTTTTTGTGAGATGAAAACCAACACAATAATCTCTTTTTTTTTTTTGCCCCCGGATGAGGACAAGAAAAGATGTAGGATGATGTGAGAAAATCCAGACAACTTGCCTGGATTTAATTGCTTTGGAAAGGTGTTCAGATAGCATCGTGATAAGAAGAGTAGGATAAACATAAACAGAGGGAGGTTGTTTTATGAACCCAGATCAACCAGGCAGTCATCTGCGTCCTCCCTCCAGGGAAAGTTTGTTCCATCTTTTTGTTCTACGATACGCTAAATAGTTGGTTCGAATTTAAAAGTCTGTTTTGATCTTTAAAGTAAGTTGATGTACTGGAGGTTCACTGATACCATCTGACGCCTGGCGTTTTTTGATGCCTGTGCATCGGTACGTCCCAAGCCACCGCTCGAGTACGTGGGTGTTTGCTATAAATGTTTTTCCTGTTAGAACAGAGGAGAGATGGAAAATAATTACGAGACCAGAAGAAACAAATGGGATCTGAAAGTGGCTGCGGTGTTATTACAACGGTGTCTGCAGGTTCTTGCCTCGGTGAGTTTGGATCTCACACCAGCAGCTAAATACTCGTGCTCAGAGGAAACCAAGTTATCTCAGGGTGTGGGATACTTAGAATCGTGGAACGGTTTGGGTTGGAAGGGACCTCAAAGATCATCTATTTCCAGCCCCCCTGCCATGGGCAGGGACACCCTCCACTACACCAGGTTGCCCAAAGCCTCATCCAACCTGGCCTGGAACACTGCCAGGGATGGGGCAGCCACAACCTCTCTGGGCAACCTGTGCCAGTGCCTCACCACCCTCTGAGTGAAAAATTTCTTCCTTAGATCTAATCTAAATCTGCCCTCTTCCAGTTTAAATCCATTGCCCCTTGTCCTGTCACTACATGCCCTTGTAAAAAGCCCCTCTCCAACTTTCCTGTAGGCCCCCTTTAGGTACTGGAAGGCTGCTACTTCAGGATAGAGAACGTGGAAGCGCTGTGTTCTGAAGAGCTGGTCTGACTCGGCTGCCACGTCCTCTGCGTAATCTTCAGCGGAGGGCAGAGGGGAGCTCTCTGCTGCTGCCATGAACATCTCGGAGAGCTGCAGGTGTTTAAAGCTGCCTGTGCCCTGGTAAAATGAGGCCTGGGGTGTAGCAGCGGAGGGTCATCACCCAGGTGAGCGTGTGTGGACGCACAGGGAGATGCCTCAGGACGGGTGGTAGGGCAGGCTGTCCTGACTTTACGTAGCTATGGCCATGGAGAGGTCGAGAAGAGTCTTAAAAGCTCAATCTTGTAGAGAAAATTTGAGTAAATCTACTGAGATTTTCGGAGTACAGAACTAACTTTCAGAAAGTCATCCGTTAAGGAAAAGAACCTGTGCAGACAAAACACATAAATCACTTTTAATGGGAACTTAGAGTGTGATTTAATTGTCTTGCTGGCTCTGTGTAACGATGGCTGAGGGAGAAAACATCCTCCTGATAGTGTCACGTAGTGAGCAACCTACTGGTAGGAAAAGGAACCTCCACAGCTTTAGAGAAAAACTTGAGATGCCCTTCGGGAACTGCATCTGACCAGAGGATGAGCACGGAACAGGCACTGGGGACTCCAGATATGAACAGGTGCAAGAAGAACAGGCGTGAACACAACAGAGCGGGGTGCGTAGATTAGATTTTGCTGTTAGTAAGAGAAAACATTAGTCCTGCTTGTTTTGGGGATAGCATGTAAAGACTCTTCAGTATCGGTCTTTCTGCTGAATGTACTTCCAGAAAATATTTTCTGTTTCAGGGACTGGGTTTCTCTTTTCAGAGCTGACGTTGAACGCTCTGAAACTGCGAGAGCAACCTCAACAGCTGCTGTGTGGGCTCCACGCTCTGGTTTCATTCATTCACCCCCCGACCCCGTACGGTGACAGCACGCTGTCCAAGAGCCAAACACTCTTGCTCCCGCAATTCCCAAAAGCCTGACACATGCAGGTTGGTGCTCTGCAAGCCCAGGAACCCTGGAAGTGTGCACGTATTTGGATTTTCGTGGTATCTACCAGCCAGCAACTCAAAATAGATAGCAGGAACCGTGGCAGGTTGGTAGTAGAAAGACCGTCCGTCTCAGCGTTTGTACGGCATCTGAGGACGTGTCTCAATGAAGAGAAAGGAGCTACTTGAAGGGGAGAAAAAAAAATCATATTCACATTTCATGAAAGGAGTTTGAAAAACACCCACGCGACAGAGCCAGTGACTCAGGCCAAGGTTGAAACCACTTCAAAATCAGCACAAGAAGCAAAGGGGGGGTGACCCCAACAGACACCGTTGGTCAGAGAAGAAAGGATCTCACGTGCACCTGCTGGATGACCCACACTGACACATAATGGATGTACGTTCCTTTCATTACCTTTTTTCCCCCTTTGGGTAGTTTACACACTTAAAAATACAAAATGGAGTTATAAAAATCACTTGGCCATTAAGTGAACATCCAAAATTCCATAAAGTACACCAGCCAGAAATGTTTGCTGGTTATAGTAAGGATGTGTGATAAAAATTTATATAATTTATATAATTTCTTTGTGCCTACCTCACATAACATACAGATGCTCACCTTGAAATACTATTTACTTGTTCTTTCTGCATTTATTTCTGAGCTTATTACCTATTTATGTAGAACGTGAAGCCTTTGTCGTAAACAATCTTTGCCTGTAAGTTTTGACAGCTAATTAGGTCTGTGAAGTTGCAACTTTATGGGACATATTTATTAGGTACTTCCAGATTTAAGTGGGAAAGAAAAAAGCAGATGAAGCATTGATTTTATTTTTTCTTATTTATTTATTTTTTCTGAAGAGACCCTTATCAGGATTTTTTTATCAGAGACACAATACTTGCCATGTTTTGGACACCACTTAGAAACCTCTCTGTGCAGAACTTTGAAAACATCTACAGCCTCTCAGAAAACCTTACACTTCTTTTCTCCTATAGCAAAGAGAATCTGTTTTGGGATCTAACCTTTTCACACTCCAGGTAGCAGACTAAAATAATTTTCAGGGTTTAAATATGTGATAACGGGAGGGAAGAAAACCACAGAAAATTATAAACACATCTGAGAACTCTAGTGAGGTACTGTTCAAAGGATGGTGATACCTTTCCATATTTCCATGTCTCGCTCTTGCCTAAGCAACCAGGGAAAGCGTTCCTAACCCTCCGCAGTTTCCCATCTCACGGGTCAGTGGCGTGTTGGCTGCTAACATGACGATGGCTCGTTTTCTTTTCCCAGCTAAGAGAAACAAGACACGAAAGAGAAGGATGGAATGAAGACTGAAATAGCCAGTACTAATTCATTTTTCCCCCAAATGGCTGAGCACTCGCTGTTCTAATTGCAGTTATGCTCAAGGCCATCAGCATTACCGTGCTGGGAAAACGCTGGAATTTCCAGGTGAAGATGGTATTTGGGCTGTTTTGCCCCATTTCTCTCTACAAGGCCATTTTCTGAGCGCATGCAATGAATGTTCAGCCAAAGTGCTGCTTCACGACCGATTCAGTCAGCACTTTGGCTGATTGATAACTCCTTTTTTGTTGGACTGCACTCTATTAAATAATACTGAA